TCCGTGTTGCCCGCCGACAGCCCCAAAACATCACTGCTCTAGAGATCTGCATGGAGGAATGGGCCAACATACCAGTGTGCCAACCTTGTGAAGACTTACAGAAAACGTTTGACCTCTGTCATTGCCAACAAAGGATATACAACAAAGTATTGAGATGATCTTTTGTTATTGACCAAATACTTATTTTCCACCATTATTTGCGAAAAAATTCTTTAAAAGTCAGACAAAATGATTTTCTCAATTTTTTTTTCACATTTTGTCTCTCATAGTTGAGGTCTACCTATGATGTCAATTACAGGCCTCTCTCATCTTTTTAAGTGGGAGAACTTGCACAATTGGTGACTGACTAAATACTTATTTTCCCCACTGTATTGAATATCCCCGATTTGAGGTCGGACCGGTCCCGACGTCCTTCTGAGCCGACTTGATCACTCTTAACTCACCACCCACGGCGGGAATATCTGCTATGATTATCTTTAGAGCCATCACAATAATCTGCACTTCCTTAAGATTGTCGGAAGGACAAAAATCTGCATGATTTTCTTGTAGTGTGACGCCGGCCTAACTGGAGATCAGATTCAGTAACAGACGTGCTTTAAACTATCACCCAAATAGTCTGAGGTACCCTCTGCTTTGGATCTGTTAAAGGGACCTACTCTTGGTGGGTCCACACTGCTTAAGGGGACCTTCTAGTTTGACAATGAAATAAAAACATAAATGATCATTTTCATGCAAATGCATTGAAAGGTATCCAGTATGTTAAAATTCTGTCCTAGTTCTCTTTTACTGGTTCTTTGCATTTTGTCAGATTCCTGCACTTATCTGATCAGTTACTCATTCCCACATGTTCAATTACGTCAAAAATGTATGCAGGATATAAAAACTTAAAATTACAGATCTGTTATGTGATGTACTGTATGTGAAGAATCAGACCTGAGTTAAACCACCACAACTTCTTGTTTTAGTGATTTACCAACTATATTTATTTACTTACATTTGAGATGATATGATAGACATATAGTTACATATTTGAAAAAAATCTGATAATACTAAATACCCCTTAAATCCAAAAAAGCCACAAAGGAACTGACCAGCCTGTTGGTGAGTGTCACATGGGTCGAGCTGAGGCGTACTCAAGCTGAGAGAACAGGCTGACGAGACCTTCCAGGTGTTTCCAAACAGATGAGGAGTGCTTTCTATCATTCCTGATGGAGATCTGCAGGAAAACCAGAGCACAGCTAAAGTGCAGCATCATGAAGGGGGAGATCAGTCCACTGACTCAGTTCAGACAATAAAACAGAAATTAAGATTAAAGTCCATGTTGAATAATGTGCCATCTTTACGTTGTTAAACTTATTGCTGCATTTAATTAATAACTCATCAAATCCCACTATATCTACTGTGACATTAATGCTTCCTGTAAATTATATTAGTTAAAACAAAATCAGCAGTAATTTGTTGTTTTTTTACAGCTGTTCCCACATTTGAAAACTGGATTATTGTGTTTCTCCCCCCATTACTGGGGACATTTTCTGAATATGTGTGGCCTTTGTCTTATAACAAAAAAGAATGAATGAATGAATGAATGAATGAATGAATGAATGAATGAATGAATGAATGAATGAATGAATGAATGAATGAATGAATTTAAGGCTCTAAAATGACATGATCATGTAAAGTGTTTGCCTAAAAACACAAGCAGGTTGGGTCATGGTTTCTCTATTTTATACAAGCAGAATTTGCTTTATAACTGACAGTATAAAGAATCTGCAAACAACACAAGCATATGTTACTCATGACAGGCTGATTACGCACAGTTAAATTTACAGATATTGAACCATTTTTGATGTGACAGTTGCTGAGTCACAATATATTTATTCTTTCTCAATAAGTGATCGTGCAAAATTGTTCTTTAAAACTTTAAAGCTCTGTAAGCAGTATCTCATGAAAAACTAATAGCATTTTAATAAATATTGCAGAAAATGATCATTGAACATTCATTTACAACTTTTTAGGTCAGCACAATACATGACTGCTGACATTTAAGAAGAACAAATATTGCTGAAACGCTGCTAAAATGTGGAGTGATAGCAGCGGAGTCATTCTCAACACATTCCCACCACTACACACTTGTGCAACAGCTTTTTTCAAGCTAAGTTGTTGGAATCAATTAAGTCTATAATATCAACATTTCTAAACACAAGAAGATTCAGATCCTTTGTCTGGATTTTGATGGATTTTTAAAATTCTCTTTATCTACCACAGAAATATTTATTGACTTGACACATTTTTCACCCAAATGTCCAAATTACTTAAAGGCTTTAAGGACAAACTACTAATTTTAAGTCTTGTTTGGGCTTTCTTCAACCTGAGGCAGTGTAATCGAGAGCCCACACACTGTAAGCTCGGTTCAAATTTTACATTTTTGTTTAAACTTCACCATGACATAGAATGCCAATTAATAAAAGTCTACTTAAGAAAGCCAAACGATTACACAAACTGCCTTTAATTCAAAGGCAGTTTATTTTTTAATAATAAGGCGCCAGAATAAAATAGGAGTAATGACTTTCTACTTCTTACCTTTTTAAAAAAAAAGTAGGGTTTAGAAAGCACAGCTAATTGTGTAAACATGTAAGGAGTAGAAGCAAAAAGTTGGTAGAAAAATTATTACTCAAGTAAAGCATAGATAGCCAAAATTTCTACTTAAGTACAGTAACAAAGTATTTGTACTTAATTACTTTACAACTCTGCCTATCACTGCAACTCAATTGTTTTAAAAAAATTTTTATAAAATCAGGTGCTACCTGCAGCCACTAAAACTGCTCATTTTTAGTTTTTCAATCTAGAAGTCTGTAATTAAAGTATTAAATTTACATTGATTTAAAGTATGTCACAGGGATAAAATATAGAAAGGATGATCTGTAGGATTTTTCAGGCGGCAATTCCAGTTTTCCTATAGCAGCAAGTCACCACTTCAGCCACCAACACTGATGTATATCCACTTACAGCTGTTAGACAACATCCGGCCATTATGGTCAGCCATTACGATGCTCCACAGTGGAGCCCCTATTCCACTAACAGTAAATTCCTTGTTGAAGTGGTGTGTCCAGTCGGGCGCTCATCTGGCCTGCCTAAAAGAGCTGATCAGAGAGCGAGGCTTTTGATGCTGAGCCGCTCGGCTCGTGTGCATTACAGAGGAGGAGAGCACTTCACCTCCCTCCCGTCAACTGAAACAAGAGCACGCTCTCTTTCCTAATCACTGGAGGGGAGGAAAGAAGGGTTAACGCTGGGTGGCAAAGGGGTCAAAGGTCAGCCATCACACACACTTACAGGAAGTCATCTTGAATGTTGCCGTTGAAGGTGCCGCACAACCCCACCGTGTCATCCTTCCACGGCTCGTCGACCTGCACATAGAGACGAAACTCTGCCCAGCTGTACTGCAGACGGAGGCCAAACGCCGTTCTCACTTGGAGGAACATGGACGACAGCTCCTGAACATGGAAGATGTCTGTGGGAGATGTAGGAGCAGGAGCTTTTCTGTCAGAATTTAAAACCTGGAAGATCCTTTCAGATTTAAATAAAATTAATATAGGAGATGACGTATACACCATGTGTGTTGTGCAGCTGCATGGACAAAATAGTTTTTTGTTGTCAGGTTTAAAATATTGAGGGGCTGCGTTGTTACAATTTACAACAATCAAAAATACAGCTGGAAAAATTGCTGATGGTAAACATTTTTACATTAAATGACTATTTGTCCTAAATTTGGTTTTGCATTTTAAAAGCTTGTTTTTGCTGAAAATTATTGTGTTCTTAGTAGTGTTGTAGTCAAGACCACCTAAGTGAAGACTAAGACAAGACCAAGACTTTTAGGGGCTGAACCAAGTCAAGACCAAGACTGAGGGAAGCCGAGACCGAATCGAGACAAAGACCAGAAAAAAAATAAATAAATAAAAATGGGAACTAGTGGCCTAAAACATACAGTATACTGTACACAGGTAGCTAATCTTGACTACATTGCTTTGTGTGAGGGCCGGGTTAAGAGTTGGTACAGAGGCAGATTGCTGATGTTAGCTAACTAGCTTTGCTAATGTCTTCTACACATAGCGCACCCTTGTGCTTCCTTTCTAAGTGACGATACAAGTTTGACATAGTCCCCACCGTCTCTGAATGTGAAGCACTGCCGAACGTACAAGTCGCTGTGTGTTTTCTACTGGATGTTTTACAAATATATTCTTTATGCTTTATGTAGCAGAATTATATTACTGAAGATTTTACAGATAAATGGGAGGATGGGTGACAGCCGAAAAAATACAGAATTAGCAATGAGTCATGCTTGGATTTGAATCAGTATGTTTTACGTGCAATGAAATCAAGGAAGAAATAAATTGGACAAAATTCTGGCAATTTAGTGATATTACCACAGTTGTGGTCTTGACTAGTTTTGAAATAAAATCCTGAGTTCTCAATGTCCAAGATCGAGACAAGACTGAGTACAAATACCACTGAGTCCTAGACCAGATCAACAACATCAAAAAGTGGTCTTAAGACCAAGACCAGTCTTGAGTACTACAACACTAGTTCTTAGTGTGTATTTTAAAAAAACTGAAGGTTATTATTGTAGGGGTCACCTTGAGAGAAATAATCAAGGAAACTGTCTTGGATCTCAAACCTCTGATGGGCCTTTAAAGAGACAAAAACTCTGTTCCACTTAGAACTGAATTTAGGCCACCTCAGGTCACCTTAACTTGTCAAAGAGACATTCTCTTTTTCTTAATCAGATAATAGACAGAAGAATCTTCTTCTTTGATTTATTGTTCTCTTAACTGAAAGTTGGTAGGCTACGCATTTTGATAATCAGAGAATGTTTGTCAAAGTTACAGGAGAAAGGTGGACAGATCTCTTTTCTCCCTCAGTATGATTTCAGCTATGTATGGATTTTCTGTGCAAAAAGCTTATTTAACTAAACTAATCTTAATGGTTTAAAGTTGATGAAACATCAGTGTTTTACTTGTCTGAATCATATTTGCATATGTTTTGAATTTGAAGCAATTCATTCTTTCAGTTAAGTTTTAAAGAAGTTCTCATCAGATAATAATTATCATGAAATGCTTTGTTTCTGAACTACACAGAAGCAATAATCATTGTTTAGCTTCAGGAGGCGACGGCAAGTCTCTGAAATAACACCTTTCCTTGATAACTTCTTTTCTAATCTAACCTCTGAAGGCAGAACTAGGAATCTAAGCTTCTTAGTAACAGTTTCCGCCCAGACGGCAGAAATTGACGGACCACTCGTCTGTGAAGACAAACAGTCTCACTCAGCTAGATTCTCCCCGGAGGATCAGGAGCTGAAGCTGGGTCGGTTTAGCCCCTTCATCACCAACGGGGAAACCGCAAAGCCAGATATAACCAACGCCTGGTATATCCAACTTGTTTAAAATCTTCCTGTCTGAAGTTTTTATTTTGAAATCGGGATCCAGTTTTTGGCTTTGCCTTCTTCCTACGGCTTGACGCGGATGAATGCGAGTCTGGAAAACACGCCGTGAGGGTCCATCTGTGTGGATGGTCCAAAACGGATTTTCTAAGCAGAGACCCCAGTACCTGGACAGGTGACTGACCTCATCTTTAAAGGTAAAGCTGGCTGTTGTGAACTTCGCTATCTGGCAGATGCTGAGTAGAGAATGCCTTGCCTCTCTGGTTAAACCCACATTATTTAAGTTAAAGTTAGGAGAGCTAACACCTTACTTTCCTTCCTTTTCTTAAAACTTACCTTGCCAAACTTATTTGCCTCAAATGTCTGGTATTCAACATTTAAGCTAGACGTTTGTGTTTTATTTTAGTGTTGTATTGACAATTAACGAAGCTCGAAGCGCTTGTTTATTGTTGGTTCTAAACTTTTATAGGAAACTGATTGATCACAATTAAGTGTACTGTAGTGATTTTGTGTGATTTTGTAAAATAAATTATCACATTTATTTATGGATCAAATCAAAATTCACTGACTGAGAGTCACTTTTGTGTGTCCATTCACTTTGCACTGGAAGAATATTTTACCGAAAATAAAGAGATATGGGGGTATAGAGTGTGTATTGGGGGTATGAGTGGAATGTGGCGTCCTTGTATGTCTTTGACTGATGGGGGTGAGGATGAGGGTGGGATGGTGCGATTGTGTATGTTTGGGTATTTGTCAGGCTGCGGTCTGGGCTGCCCCTACTGCTGG